GCTGTGTGGAGATGGGGTGTTGGATGGAGGTGTGGAGTGATAGGTTATAGGGTGTAGGTATGTGGAGTAAGGGTATAGATCTGTAGGGTATGGTTGGCCGGGTGAGGATACAGGGTGAATAGAAAGCTTCCTTCACAATCATATTTATTTCATTCATTCTGCATCATTCATTCCCCCCGCGTGGATCAAGTCGTCTCATTCTCCGCCGGTTCATTCATGCTGCAAGTCTCAGATCAGGTAATAACAGGTTAGATCGAGGCGGATCATATCGGGTGTGGACGGGTTAATTAGACTGGACTCTTAAACAGGTAATGAGCTAAAACTGTTGATTGGGGAGATATGTGTGACTGTATGGGCTAAGACAGTTGACTGGTTGAGGGGTGAGACAGTTGACTGGTTGACTTAAACATTCCAAGTTCCAATACTCGTTCAATCAATAGACAGACAGACAAAGACACACAGACAAAGGCACACAGATAGATAGAAAGATGGATAGATAGATAGACAGATAGATAGATAGATAGATAGATAGATAGTAATACCACCATACAAATTCACATCACAAACCGAGAAAAAATATCAACTTTTACCGAACAACAAATAAAACTCCTCACTTGCTTCCCCAACGTCAGGTACAACGCCCAGGAATCCCACGACCACGAATTTGTATGCTGCCAGGACTCACTGTCGGTGTACCTATGACGAGGAGGAGGAGGGGGTATTGTGTCTTTAAAACGTGTCTATGTATCATTACGTCGGGTTGACAGGGTAAAGTGTGGAGGTGTAAGGTGGTGATGTGGGTGTCGGGGATGGGTGTGGTGATGTGGGTGTCGGGGATGGGTGTGGTGATGTGGGTGTCGGGGATGGGTGTGGTGATGTGGGTGTCGGGGATGGGTGTGGTGATGTGGGTGTCGGGGATGGGTGTGGTGATGTGGGTGTTTGTTGGGGTGTTGTGGTATAGGTGTTGGTTTGGGTGGAAGGGATGAATGGGTGAATTAGTGAGGGTGTAGGGCGTGGCAGAGATCGCGTGTAGTAGCTCAGGGTCGTGAGAGACGTGGTTAGTCAGGTGTAAGGTTCCTATAATGCTCCACCACACTCTCTCCCCATCTCCACCACACGCTCCCTACCCATCTCCACCACACACTCCCTCCTCCACCACACGCTCCCTCCTCCACCACACGCTCCCTCCTCCACCACACGCTCCCTACCCATCTCCACCACACACTCACTCCTCCACCACACGCTCCCTCTCCACCACCACACATTCCCTTCCCACCTCCACCACACATAGCCTCCAACACCCACCCTCTAACACACGCTCCTCCTCCACTGCACACACTCCTTCCCCACCTCCACCACACACCTTCACCCACACCTCCACCACACACCTCCTTCCCCACCCTCCACCACACACTCCTTCACACACCTTCCCCACCTCCACCACACACCTCCTTCCTCCACCACCACACCTCCACACACACCCCTTCCCCACCTCCACCACACACCTCCTCCTCCCACCACCTCCACCACACCCTCACTTCCACCACACACCCCCCACCTCCACACACACCCTCCCCACCTCCACCACACACTCCTTCCCCACCTCACACACCCCCACCTCCACCACACACCCCTTCCCCACCTCCACCACACACCCTTCCCCACCCCCACCACACACCTTCCCCACCCCACCACACACCCCCACCACACCCACCACACACACTCCTTCCCCACCCCACCACACACCCTTCCCCACCTCCACCACACACACACTCACCACTCCCTCCACCACACGCCCTCTCCACCACCACACATTTCCTTCCCACCTCAACACCCCTCTAACACACACGCCTCCACTGCACACCTTCCCACCCACCACACACTCCCCCCACCTCCACCACACATCCTTCCCCACCTCCTTCCCCACCTCACCACCATCCCCACACCACCACCATTCCCCCTTTCTCCCACCACACACCTCCTTCCCACCCACCACCACACACCTCCTTCCCCCCTCCACCCCTCCCCCCCACCCTTCCTTCCCACCTCCACCACACACCCCTCCCCACCTCCACCACACACCTTCCCCCACCTCCACCACACACCTCTCCCACCCCACCCACACCTTCCCCACCTCCACACACACCTTCCCCACCTCCACCACACACTCCCTCCACCTCCACCACCACCCTTCCACACACCTCCTCCACCACACACCTCCACCACACACTCCTTCCCACCTCCACACACACACCCACACTCCACACCTCCACCACACACACTCCTCCTCCACCACACACACCTCCACCACACACCTCCCCACCTCCACCACACTCCTTCACCTCCACCACACACTCCTTCCCCACCTCCACCACACACACCCTCCACCTCCACCACACACTCCTTCACCTCCTCCACCACACACCTGACCCTCCACCACACACTCCTTCCACACCTCCACCACACACTCCATCACACCTCCACACACACACTCCTTCTCCAACCACACACCTCCACCTCCACCACACACTCCTTCCCCTCCACCACACACTCCCTTCCCACCTCCACCACACACTCCTTCCCTCCACCACACACCTCCTTCCCCACCTCCTCCACCACACACCCTCCCACCTCCACCACACACCCTCCACACCTCCACCACACACTCCCCACACACCTCCCCACCACACACACCCTCCCCACCTCCACCACACACCTCCCCACCTCCACCACACTCCTCCACCTCCACCACATCCTTCCCCACCTCCACCACACACTCCTTCCCCACCTCCACCACACACCACCTCCACCACCTCCTTTCCCCACACCACACACCACCCCACACTCCTTCCCCCTCCACCACACACCCTTCCCCACCTCCACACACACCCTTCCCCACCTCCACCACACACCTCCTTCCACCACACACCTTCCCCACCTCCACCACACACCCTCTTCCCCACCTCCACCACACACCTTCCCCCACACTCCACCACACTCCTTCCCCACCTCCACCACACACTCCTCCCCACACCTCACCACACACTCCTTCCCCACACACACACCTTCCCCCACCCACCACACACCCCCTCACCTCCACCACACACACTCCCTTCCCCCCTCCTCACCTCCACACACCTTCCCCCACCTCCACCACACACACCTCCACCACACACCCTTCCCCACCTCCACCACACACCCTTCCCCCTCCACCACACACTCCCCTCCACCTCCACCACACTCCTTCCCCTCCTCTGCACCACACACTCCTTCACTTCCCACCACACACTTCCCCACCTCCACCACACTCCTTCCCCACCTCCAGCACACACTCCTTCCCCACCTCCACCACACACTCCTTCCCCACCACCACTCTATAACAAACAACTCATCACTCCCGGTATTATTATTACTGGTATTGTGTACAAGATGAGCAGCAACATTGTTCACTTCAGCGGTCGAGTGTAAAACATTAATGATTCAAGCTGAGGCAAGACAGGCGTATGTTTTTTCGTCTGTTTTCTGGATAATTATGAAACAAATCAGTGTTTACAAGGCTTTTAGAGGAGATTCGAATCCTAGACTTCTGGACATTAAACCCAGTAAGGTAACCACATCGCCATAGTACCCGTCAACACCTCTTCCCCGCAGTTTCATCTAGTCTCTCCACAAACAATAACTTAAGCTAACCAAGGAGTAGAACAATATCCGCTTTGGTTCTCAGTGTTGGTCCTCCTGTGCAGCCTCCAGTAGAACGCTTGTTAACGCTGCTGCTCCCACACTTCTCCTGCCCCACAAGGTGATTGCTACCCATTCCCCCATACACCCGTCCTTCAGCCATTACCCATGACAGGTTCACACGGCCTTGTCTCACCCCCGTCACTGATCTTCACACTCTATGGTTCTCCCTCCTCACCCCCTCACCCTGGCAGTCTCTCTCCTTACTTGCCCTACCTTCCCCGACTCCTCATGCCCTCCCTCATCCCACCACCCTCATTCCTCACCCTTCACCCCGCCAATCATATTCCTTATCCCTCACTCCTCACCTGGCCTCCCTCTCCTCCCTTGGCCTCATAGAATATACACATGCTGACCTCACATACAGGCTGACCTCGGGACAAGTGGTTTTACCTCGCCGTGACTCATGAATGATAAACTATCATCACGAGGTAAACAGTGATCAGTTCCCTGAGTTTGGTTCACATCCTGCATGACGATAGTGACTAACGTTGGTGAGGGCGTCCTGACACTTAGTAACCATGAAGGCTGGTCACACACACACACACACACACACATTCTTAACCAGTAGAGTCTTAGAAGTACATGATAAAGAACTTGTAATGAAAGACTGAGCACAACTATCTTCATCCACTGGTTAAATTATTTTATCTCGGGAATGTTAGGAATGAATAAAATTACCTTCATTCACCTGTCTCCTCTGAACAGATTTATCTCTCGTTCACACTTTATTTTCAGCACCATAAATAACGTCAATTATCGGGTTTTTTTAAGTTACACAATTAGAGGATAAATGATTCGGCACAGCCAGACAGTCGTCACGGCACCGCCTCTTTGTTGTTCACTATTGTGTAGTGACGTCACGGGTGTCTGAGGCAGCGGGGATAAAAATTTCCTGCAATTACAATATTTTTAACAGAACCATTGAAAAAAAATAGTAATTTTAGAGACTAGAAAAACGTAATTTTGTATCAAGATAAAAAATAATGTATGCTTAACGGGATGTAAATGAAAATCATTTTGTTAGGTTTTCTTCAGTGTTTATGGCAATTTATATTGGTTTTAACTCCTTTCCTTATTATTATTATTATTATCTTATATTGAATTATCAAGTTTTGTATAATTTAGAAATACACTTTGGCATGAATTTGAATGAAAAAGTTAAGATTTGTTATAAAGAAATGTAAAAATATAAAATGGATACAGGTGATTATTGGCTCCAAAATAATATTCATCAACCACACCACCTCCCCATTTTTCAGGACCGTTACGCCTTCGCTCTGTTGACGCCATCTATTGACGAATCTCAGGACTACTTGCTGCTGGGGGGCTACGAGAACGACTCCCACACCGTCATGAGGTTCTCCCGCCCCTGGATTACCTGTGACACCCACCACGACTTCCAGCTCTCGGTCAGTACCTCGTCAGTGTCACGAACTGTGTGTGTGTGATAAATGGACAGGGAGGTAGCGTATAGATTAGTCAATTGATAATGGTGTAGTTTAAATTTATTCCTCCTCTTTTCTTTTTCTTTTCTCCTCCATCTTTTGGTACCCTTTTCTCTTCTCCTTTATCTCTTCCTCTCCAGTTTCCCTTTTCTCTATCTTTTTCCTCTTCCAAACTTCATCTCTCTTTCTTTCTCCTCTCCGTCTCCTCCCACATACTCATTAAACCATGAAACACGCAAGGCTAAACAACAAGAAACACACACACACACACATCTACCTGTTGCTGGGGTATAAAATTTATGATTGGCTGTTGTACCTGAAGGTAATGGACACTGGAGTCGAACAAAGGAACTCCGACTGGCCTGTATTCCATTACCAAGCGAGTGAAGGTCCGATTACTTATAGACAGTCGAACGAACCCCAACGATCATTAGTTACAGAGGATTCGAACCCTTCAGTACAACACCATGAATCATTTTTCACTTTAAGAGTTTGGATAATGAGAGTTAATTTTAGCCGATTTATATATAAGTGTTTAGGTAATTGGGTGTAATGTCGTAGGTATAAGATATGGTCTACGTTAGGTCAGGTGATATGATCTCTATCTGCGTATGTTGTTTCATTACCTGTTGTGTAAGTCTGTCTCTGGTGTAGGTGAAATGTTCAGCTTAGTTCAGTTTTTTTCTGGACTAAAGTCTTTGTGTGTGTGTATGTGTGCATGTTCTCCTGCATGCTCGCTTGTTTGGTATTTTTATGTTTTTTTTTCCTTGCAACTTTAGATCCTCACAATATAGCCAGTGAATCAGACTCAATAATATGAACAAAGTTGTACACACACACACACACTTCTAGACCACAGACGTCGGCACCTCACTGACACCACAGACACACTAAACCACACTTCCATCCCACGCTACCATATAAAAAAACGTTCCCTTAAATAAAATCTTACCTTTTGTTAGGCATCAGGCTTAATTAGTTACGCTGGAGATAGATCTAATGGGTGTTAAGTGTGCGTTACGAAGATGCGTATACTCACCTGCCCGCCACACTAAGAGACACTGCCCACTACCTTGGTTTATTATTTCAACTCCTCCTCCACACACCTGTCTCGCCTACCTTCTGTTCCTCTTCCTCCACTCCTCTCCCCTTAACTTCCCTCCCTTCCATTCCTCTTTATTTTCCTTTATTCCCTTCTCATTTCTTTCCCTCAGCAAATATCCCCCTCTTTTCCTTTCCTTCCCTCCCCTCCATTTCACTCTTCCACTGCCCCTCTCCCCTTCTCCCCACTTCCATTCTCCTTCCCTTTGACACAGAATGACCTAAGTTGTGATCCAGATTACCCAGAGTTAACTACCATGCTCATAGATAACGATTCTTCCATCACATTGACAATTACGTTCACTTGTAATGAGTCATTGTCTTTGTTATATCGAGTTTTATTGTGTGTTTGCTCATAGTGTAGTAGTAGTAGTAGTAGTAGAATTTACAGATGCCATTGCTCTAAGGTACGGTTGGCCAGTAGATGGTTTGCCCTCCCAATGCGTGTGTGGCTATTCCTATGATGGCGATCACGCCATGGTCTGCAAGAAGGGGGGCTTCATATGCATGAGGCATGACGAGGTAAGGGATCTCACAGCAAATATGTTGAAGGAAATCTGCCGGGACGTCATGGTAGAACCGACCCTCCTTCCACTGGATGGCGAGATCTTCCAACACAGGACTTCAAACACATCTAACGAAGCCCGTGTGGACGTCAGTGCTCGAGGATTCTGGACGCGGGGACAGCGAGCTTTCTTCGACATCAGGATTTTTGATCCCATGGCCGTTTGTCACCGTAACCTAGCTCTCGATGCGCATAGGAGGAACGAGAACGACAAGAGAAGGGCATATGGGGAGAGAATTCAAAATGTTGATCAAGGCAGCTTCACTCCTCTAGTGTTCACAACCTCTGGTGGGATGGGCCCAAGTGCAAGATGTTTCTACGCCAGACTCGCGGAGCTGATCTCCGAACAGAAGCAGCAGCCCAGAAGTTATGTCACAGCCTGGATGAGATGTCGACTGTCCTTCTCTCTCCTTCGGTCGGCTTTGCTCTGCCTCAGGGGAACGAGAGCTTCTGCCCCTACTCCGACAACTGCTGCAGATATCGACTATGAGGCTACAGTCACTGAATGCCGCATGGATCTGCGGCTCAACTAATTTAACACAGATAGGATAGTTTCTTATGTATTAGGATATTTAATATTAAGGTAAATAAATGGTGGCGAAGGTGTGGCTATTGGGGGAGGCTGGAGGCCACGTAAAAAAAAAAAAAGTAGTAGTAGTAGTAGTAGTAGTAGTAGTAGTAGTAGTAGTAGAAAAAAGTAGTAGTAGTAGTAGTAGAAAAAAAGTAGTAGTAGTAGTAGTAGTAGAAAAAAAAAAAAAAAAAAAAGTAGTAGTAGTAGTAGGAGGAGGTCTGTGGCCCTAGTTGGTACAGCCGAGATAGAGTAGGTGAAGGGTGACGTTTGTGATATAGAAATTTGTTTATTATGAGCTTATGACAAGTTCAGGTTAAGTTAGGTTTGGTTAGGTTAGGTTTAGATATGACAAGTTCAGGGGGAGTTGGTAATACAGGTATAAGGGAGACTTGAACAGCGAAAGACAATATTGGTGACCCGAGCGTGAGCAGTGAACCTTAATGGGTAAAGGGTGAGTGAAATAGTAAAGGTATATGGTGAGAACGACGGGGAAGAATGGTGGAATAAGGTCGCAGGAAACGGAAAATATATTGGAGGGTTAAATAGTAAACAAGACATCAAACTTACTAGAGGATACGACAGATGAAAGACCGAGAAAAGAATAAAGAGTTTGTTTGTTATGGTTTAAAATAAATTAAAGAGGTATTCACCAGTTCGCATTACCAAGGTAAATGAGGAGGTTGATATATACAGTCACAAACACTCATTTCAAAGTCATTACCTCGCATTTGTCTTTAGAATTGTGTCTGTCTTAAAGTTGATATGTGTGAGTTGGTATCACTGCTCATACACTCAGACAATCTTATGATGTATTATTAATCTTGTGAACTATAAACCAAGGTATTTGGATCTCTTGATTGGCCTTCACCTGTGGGACAACAATATAACCTGCTATTTGGTGTTAATGCTGAAGGTAATTTTTTGTTTCCGAGTTTACCCTGTACGTCAAATATTCACAGATTTTATCCTACCCTCCTAAACACCATCTCCTTGCCTCCCTCCCTCCCCCCCTCCCTCCTTCCTTCCTGCCCCCCTCCTCCTGCTCCCCTCCTCCCCTGCCCCCTCCCTCCCTGCCCCCCTCCCTCCCTCCTTCCTTCCTTCCCTGCCTAATTCTTCTTGATCACAACTGTACATAAAAGCTAACACGAGAAGGAATGTATTTTGTAGTGTTAAAAATTCTTCTGCCATTGAGATCATCATTCAGATGACAAACATATAATTATGTGAATGCAGAAGAATGACTAATACTATTTTTTTTAGGCATTTATATTAATATTTATAAACTGTGTAAGAACGTGTTTATGGAGCCGATGTTGCTCGGCGGTTTCATTCCATTTTCACCCAATCCTGAGACCCCTTACCAATGTTACCAATAAACCTCGTACAGTCTACGGGACCTCTGCAGCTCATTTTGATGATTTTATCTTTCTTTCTTTTTTACAAAGAATAGCCCACCCGGGCACAGGTCATCGACCCACAACGGGGCCTGGGGGAAGATAAGAGTAAAAAGAAATTAGAAATAGAAGAGAAAAATATTATATTAATCTACACCACGATGATGCTGGAAAACCGGCTTTTTGAAGTGAAACAGATTGTATGAGTATGGAAACACAGAAGGCAGAGCATTCCACAGTTTGGCTGTGTGAGGAAAGAAGGATGTACTATAACGGGTTATTCTCGTGTGACCGACATCCACAGAGAAACGGTGGGCACCGCGGTCAAGACGTGTGTTACGAGCCCACTGTCTTGCCGGCGGTACACAGGATGCCATATCCACCGAACTTTGCCTGTTAAAGTACCCGTAAAAGAGAGAGAGTGAAGCAACATTGCGGCTAAGACAAAGGGAAGAGAGATTATCAACTAAAGGAGGAGAGTTAATAAGACGAAATGGCTTTGATTCCACCCTATCTAACAGATGGAAAGAAGAAGAGCCACCCCAGATATGAGAGCAGTACTCCAAGTTCGGACGAATGAATCCCTTATATACTTACAGCAAGTACTCAGGAGTGAAGTAGCTACGGCATCTGTACAGCATTCCGAGCATTCTTTTTATTTTGTATAGGGATTGGTATGGGGTGGAGGAGGGTGAAGGGGATGGAGAGAAAGGAGAAGGGGAAAGAAGGAGACGAGGGGAAGGAGAGGAGGAGGATGAGGATGGAGAGGAGAGGGAAAGGAAAGAAGAAGGGGATGTAGAGGGGGGAGAGGAGGTGGAAGGAGAAGAGGAGGAGGTGGAAGAAGGAAGAGATGGGGGGAGGGGGATAAGAAAGAAAATAAGAGTTTAAGGAGAGGGAAAGGAAGAGACGGAGACGGGGGGGGGGAGTTAAACAGAAGGATAGGAGGAAGGGTGGATGAAAGGAAAAGAATGAGGAAAACATAAAGATTAGAGAGAGAGCGAGAGAGAAAGAATACGTGTGTGTGTTGAACCAGATGGCCGGTAGTCCATCTTGCCTTGGTCTGTTTTTGGCAAGTCCTATTAAGTTACGAGACACAAGTTAATGATATAAAGGGCATTTATTTTAGTTAATTTGGTAGTTTACTCGTTAATTTATCTTTCGTGTTACTTAAACTTTGAAAATTATACAAAAATTTATAGATTTTTTTAACTCGATTGTGTTCTTAAAAAAAAAGTAGTTATTTTTACCGCCATGATGTCTCATTTGTGATTGGTCTTCATCTTCTTCGTCGTCACCCGATAAATTTTCAGTCGTTATCTTGTAGAATAATCTT